CATGATACACTCCCACGTGTCACTGCTCGCCTCTGTGGTACAACCATTTTTTCTCAAGCCAAACAAACGCTCCAGCCGGGGAACTACCAGCACAGCGTCCCAGCTCAGAAGGTGGGAGTCAGGAGTTCATAAACGCTGCTGCTGATAAGTACAGGGCGGGGACAAACCATGACTTAACCGTGAGAGGTTTGGGTTACCTGTGGATTTCCTCTTTCAGCCTCATTAGTACCATTTAGCGAAAGTTAACTCTCAAACACTATGGTGATGGCGGACCTGGAGCCCAGTCTCAGCTGTTGCATCGCCAAGGCCAAGGTGGGCTGGAGTCGGGCTGGGGAACCAGGTGGGCTCCCCTCCGCCCTGCCATCCGCCTGGGCCTCTGGGGGCCAGGGCGCCTCTCCTCCCCTCTCAGGCTTGCTGGGTGTGGACCTATGGGACCCTGTGGCCGAGTCTCAGACCGAGCTGAGGACCAGAATCACCTGTGGGGCTTTAAAAGTACAGGCCACAGACACACCTGCTCCGAAGGCCTGAGGTGCAAGCCTGGGAGTCTGTGTCTGTGACAGTCTTTCCTGGGAGATTCTGATCAACCCACAGTCCAACCCACCAGGGCCCTAGGAAGCCTCCCAGGCAGCAGTTTCGGAGCCCAAGGATGGCGAGACACCCTCTGGTCACAAGACCCAACACCCCCTGGAGAGGAGGGAGGAAGGCCCCTCAGGGCGTGGACTGCTAACCACCCCTCCGAGCTCCCAGCCCCCTCCTCCGACACCAGGAATTTCTCCTCCGCCTCACTTTTCTTCTGATTTCAAGCGTGTCCGGCGCCGTATTGTGAAGAGCACATCGCTTGACCCCAGGGCCCCTGCCAGCGGCTCTCCTCCCAGTTAACCGTGCAGGGATTATCCCCGGGGCTCCATCCCCTCCCACCTTGACCCTGGCCGTCTGGCTTTCATAGTTATCAGTTCAGTTTGCTGGAGCTGCGTCTCCAGCCACCCCGACCTCTAACCCCGCTCCAGGTCGCTGTTTCCTGCCGTCAACACTTGACCGCCCCACTGACCCTCAAAACGAGATGGACGTGGGGTCGGAGTCTCGTCTCCCACCCACACCTCCGGCCGCTTCCCTTTCCCTTTGACCCAGTCGTGGCTTTGTGAGGTTAGCGAGGACACGGCGGCCCCAAGAGAGGAGGTGACATGCGCGGGGTCCACCCCGTCCTGAGGGCACTGGGATCTACAGCGGGGCACCTGGCCTGGCTGTGTGCCCCTCTGCGGCCCCCAGCCCCACCGTGAGGGCAGACCTCCTGGCACGGGCCCCGTGTCCCTGTGCCCTCCTACATCCGTCCGTACAGAACACACGGAAGGACTTCAGTCAAAGCCGAGAAGGGGAAACGGGAGGGACATGGGGACACTGGCATCTCAAAAGGGATGTAGCATTTCGTGTCCGTGGCGACTCCAAACAGGGCCTCCCTTTGGGCCACACTCTGGAGCAGTTCATTCCTGGGGCCCCACCCATGAGGGCTTCCCGTCCGCGCACGCTGGGGCCTCGGCAGGCAATGCTGACGGAGGCTAGGGTCTCCGGATTTTGCCAGTCTTTAGTGACACCTTCCGCTGCCTCATTCTGCATATTTGTGAAGCAGTAATTCATTCAAGGAACAATGCAGGACCCTGTATATCTTCTCGTAGGAGAAAAATGGGGATGAAGATCCAGGAGTTCAAGGGCTGAGAGCCGCAGCAGACTGTCCAAATGGGAACGACCTCAGCCCTGTCTACTCCGGAGCAGTAACACCGTTACTGGTTTTTATGGAGTGTGTGCCACAAACAAGACGGGGCTCTCGGTTTCCTCACCTGCAGTGCCTGACTTAGGCCTCAGCTTCCCCCAGGCAGGCTGCCGTCTTACTCCCTTGCAGATGAGGAAACCGGGGCTGAGAGACAGCAGTGGCGTCTTGCCCAAGATCACACAGGCAGTGAGTCCGGACTTCCCGGGGGGGCTGACGTGGAGCCCCCTGCTCAGCACCCTCGTTAGACGTCGCCCTGGAGGGCACTTGGCCTCTCTTTGGGGAGGATCGGTCACAGGAGGCCCCTCCACGTGCGGCGAGCGGAGCTGTCCTCATTGGATTGATGTCAAGCAAGATAAACCTAACTCCGCACGAATCAGCGGTTGGAACTGTCAGTACCGCAGCCTCCTTCTGCCTTTATACAGGTTCCTCGGGCTGCCGGCCTCCTGGGGTGAACTTTTCCCAGGAAGTCAACTGCAGGTCGAGCTTGTGACGGCAGAACTTTCTTCTCACCTGCTGCCTTCAGTGCTTAGAATCCCCCGACCTGCACGTCCCAGAAGGGCTCAGCTACCGTTGAGTCCGTGGGGGAATCTATGGATGGTACCCGGACATTTGGGTCCGAATCTACCATTGTTTCCGGCCCTCGTTCTCAGAAAGGCATCCAGATAAGAGGCACAAATGAAGCCGAACGGCCCAGGCGACGCGCCCGCGAAGTAGCTGTTGGGAGGCGGTTACCAGGTTGGCCTCTCTGTCCTCTGGCTTCAAAGGCTCATCAGGCTGGCGCCCCCAAGAAATCTTCTGTGCGTCCCTGTGAAGCCTTAGAAAGGCCAGAGAAGCAGGCTGGGGCGGGGGCGGACCTTCCCACCTCAGGGTGCTTTCCTCCTGCTCCATCTGGAGCAGCCGCGCCCCCCGAAGCGCTTCCTCCCGGGGCTGGGATGGAAAGGGAACGGTCGCCCTCAGCGTGCACGGCCCAAGGGGCAGAGGCCAGCCCTAGACCTAGTACCCCGACAGGCTGGCTCCTCCTGTCTCTTTCTGATGCGGTTTCGTTAGCTGTTCTGGCTTGGAAGGGGCCTCCCAGTGTGGCTGGTGGCCTGTGAAGGCATGACCAGGACGGGGGAATAGGGTCTCCAATAAAGAGCAGGAGTCTTTACTAATTTCCATATGTCCAAATACTTGCTTTCTCTTTCTTTGTTTAAACCACAAATGCCAAGTCAGGGTATGTTTTATCTGGGGGAGAAGGCAAGAGGCCCCGCCCAGCAATCACAGACAAAACATGGGCGAGATCTGCCCACAGTCCCATCGGCTCTCATCTCCGGGCTGACTCAGGCAGTGGGGCGCTCACCACTTCCCTTGGGAATCCAGCCCAGGACTCGGGGTTCCTCGTGTGAATGCTTTCCCAGCTACTCAGCCACATGCTCCTTTCCTGGGGGTGGCGGGGGCGGGGGGTAGCTGCAGCTTCCCTCGCTGGACCACAACTGTTGACTCATCTTGGACCGAGACGGAGGTGGGAGGTGCAGGACCACTCCAGGGACAGCTGGGGTTGCTGTCATCTGTCACCTGCCCTCCCCCTGGGTGGTCAGCTAGCGGGGGGGGGGGGGGGGAAGCAAAGTGGCTCGTTCTTGCGCTCCTTCCTTTAGACTTTAAACTTCCTGCGGCTGGGACCTGCTCTCGGCCATCTCTGTGTGTTTAGGGCTCAAGAAATGTGAGTGTGAAGCGAATCCCCAGATTCTCCCAGTCTGCATTCCGGAATGATCAGGGCCTCCTGCATGAGGTCTTCCCTTGACCTCCCGCAAAGACCCTAACCCCGGAGCCGATGCTTTCTCCTCAGGAGGAGAGGAGCTGGGCCTATTTGTAAGCTGACAAGGTGGATTCAAAGCTCTCATCCTGCACGAGGCCAGCTACCCTCTGTGTCTCATCTGTCCCCAAAGGTAAAGCCTTGAACTAGTTCCCCTCCGTGAAGGGGGTGGGGGGGGGGCATGGCAATCGTAGGCCATTCATTTCAGGTTGCTGGACCCGGTCTCATAAACCCCATTCACTGTGAGATGAGAAGAGTCGTCAGGCACCTCCGGCCAAGACGGCACAATTCCAAGGAAGACTTTCCCTCTAGTCTGGTATTTGCTAAAACTGCTCTTACTTTCCTTATTGTAAAACCCAGAGGACAATAGCTCCTTATTGCCAGCCCAGTACGGTGGGTTCCTGGTCCCTCGTTCCCTGACCACCGCCCGCCCCCCGCGGTCCCTTCCCCCACTGAAAGGGGAAGGTTGTCACCCTGTTCAGTTACTAATTAAAAAAGGCCAAGCCTTCGATTACTGCTATTGTTGTTTTTTCTTCTCACTGTACTGCATTCAAAGGCAATTTCTTTAGCAGAGCGACCTCCTACTCACTCAGGGAAGAGAAGGGGTGGGGGGTGTTCAGAACTTTGAAAAAAAAAAAAAAAAGCAGTTGGAGGGCCGGCCTCAAACCATGCTGGCCCCATTGGTTGGTGCCCTGTTACTGGGGTCTGGAATCGGGTCCAGGGCTGGAGCTGGAGCTCTGCCTACTCCCTCTGGGGCAGCTCACCCAGGGTGCACTGCCCAGACCTGGGGACATCGGTCCCAGCCGAGCCTCTAGTGACTTTTCAGGCACCGGTCAGTGACTATGGACTAATTCAGGCCGGACGCTGCCCCAGAAGCGATGGGAGCGCGCGTTTCCCATGTGGAAGCACTCTTCTTGGTGTATCCGCGCCGCGCCAGCTTTCCTTGTCCCAGGGATGGCTCTGCTGGGTGCTGTCGAAAGGGGTCCAGGACCAGAGGGAATGGCTCGGGTTTGTGAGGCAGAAATAACAGATCACTCCACTCCGTGGGGAGATTCAAGAAGGATAAAGCGCGTGTGAGTGTTTGATGTGAGTAGAAAAGCTACTACGTGAGCCCCAGAGCCTCCAGCCCCGCAGTCCCTGAGTTGGACGCCCCGGGGGCTGCTGGCGCGTGAGACCCCAGGTGCTCCCGGAGGACCGGGTCGAGTTCCGGCGAAGGGGCCGGTGGGTGTGCGGAGGGTCCGGGGGGGCTCCCCACGCGCGCCCGGGGGTCGGGGCCCGCGCAGGAGCGGGCGCGCGGGGAGCTGAGGCAGGTGCGAGGCCGGGTGCCGCCCGCGAGGAGCCCCGGGGGCGTGTTGGCTCGGCGCGGCGGGGCGGGGGCGGGGAGGAGGCGCGGGGCGGAGCGCGGGGCCCGGGACCCGCCGGCCGGCGCCGGCCCTGCACTCAGAGCCGCGGCCGCCACCGCCGCAGCCAACTCGGGCCCAAGTTCCCGGCCGCGGCGGAGAGGAGCGCGCAGCCGGCGGCCCGAGCCCCGCGCAGGGCCCGGCCTCCTCCGCTCGGCCGCCGCCCGCGCCCCGCCTCCGCCCATCGGCTCGGACCCGGCGCCGCGCGGAAGCCCTCGGGGCAAGGAGCGCGGGCTCCGCGGGGGCGACCGGGCGACCCCCGGGGCCGGGCGGACACTCGGCGGGACCGGAGCGCAGCGCGGAGAGTCGGCGCCCCCGGCCGCCGCGGCCCCGCGGGCGCTAGAAGGGCCGGCCGGGCAGAGAGCGAGCCGGAGCCCGCGGGCCTGACAAGCCGCGGACGCGCAGGTAAGCCTGGCGGCGGCCGGGAAAGCAGAGCCCACGCCCCGCCGCCCAACCTCCCCGCGCCCGCGGGCCGGTCGGGGCACCCGGATCGGGAGCGGGGAGGTGCGGTCCGGGAGGGGCCTCCCCTCCACCCCCCGCGCCCGGGGGCCGCGAGCTCGGCCCGGGACGGGTCTGAGGGGCCGGGGCCCGGCGGCGCGGGGGGCGCGCAGGGGAAGGGGTCCCCGCCGCCGAACAAAGCTGGGGCCGCGGGCTCTCGCCGCGCCCGGGCCGCGCCGCCTCCAGCCGGCAGGTAGCGAGGGTCCCCGCCCTCCCGGCGGGCGGGTGTCGCCGCTTTCGGTCCCCGGGCGGCGACCGCGGAGCCGCGGGGAGCCGCCCCCGGGCGCGCAGGCTCGGCCCCGGCCCGTCCGCGCGCCGCGAGCCCCCGAGCTTCCCGCGCGCTTTTCCCGGCTCGCTCGGGCCCAGCTGGGGTCCGCGGTGGGGTCTGCGCCCCGCGCCCGCCAGACTGTGGCGAGAGCTGCATCTGGATTCTTTTAACCCCCGCGAGCAGTGCTAGTTTGGTGCCTGGATTCCTGCCTAAGCCCGAGCAGGTCTCCGGCTGGTCTTCCTAGTTTTCTGTTTTCTTTCATTGCGCCTCCGCTCGCCCTGCCTCTTCCATCCCAGCCGGGAGAGGTGCGGGGTGGCCGTTCTCCACCTCCTCGTGGAGCCGCAGGCGATATTTGGCCACGCACTCTAGTTAGAGCCCCCGTTCCTAGATGTTCTCATCCTGCAAGTCTTCGTGAGAGACCATTTCACTTGCCTGGAGCGGGACTGCTTCTGTTTTGCAGAGAGGGGAGCTGAGTGGTGACCCAGCTGTTCTGGGGAACTTGCTCTCCACTTTCCCCCGGGCCTTCTTCACTGCTTTTGCCACCTGGCTGCTTGGCAACAGCGTTCAGTTGCTACCACCCTGGGCAGAGTTTCAGCCTGGTACCTGGAGGAGAAAGGCCAGGATCGTGTTACCAGTCTAGCGGCCAAGGAAAGGCCCGCTTGCCAGAGCTGTGATGCCATCAGCGTGGGTGTGGGCAGAGTCGCGCTCCTGGCCACACACCAGCACCCAGGCAGGCACAGGGCTGGAAGCTTAGGGTGACCCCCCCCGAGGCTGGCCCTGAGGCAACACGGGGGCCAGGGCGCGGCGGGCACACTCTGGGAGAGCTGAGGACCCTTTCCTGGACCCCGGCCCTCCTGCTGCTGACTCAGATGTGCAGTTTACTTATGAAAGGCAAGGCTCCGATCTCAGGCGTGGGTGAGCGAGGCCCGGCCCCGAGCTTGTGCCCACACGCCCGCCAGGAGCACACGCGCGCCCCCCGGCAGACCCGCCGACCTGTGGAACGTGGAAGGCTGAGTGGTGGTTTCCTCTGTTTCAAAATAGCATCTGTTCTCTCTTCACACAGAAGATCTGTGGTTATAAATAGCAGGAGGAAGGAGGTGCGTCTCCTGGGAAGGAAGGGCAGTGCTCAGAGCCCTCTGCACGCTCGCGGGAGGAGTGATGGGGCTGGGCTCTTTGTGGGGACGTCCAGTCCGGGGCCCGAGGCCAGAGGCAGACTGGGGCCAGGTCCCCGCCCCAAAAGGCGCAGGTGGAGCAGACGCAGGGAAGGAGGTTCGTGGAGCAAAGCACCTACCGAGGTGACATGTGGATAAGGACCTAAGGGCAGCCCCCCTTCGTTCCTCGGGCGTGGGACCTGCTGGGGTCTGCCTGCCGGGAAGCAGGAGCAGCCCTGCTCTCCCAGGCCCCGACCTCCCGTGTATTCCAGTGTGAATGTGTGACAGGCGTTTGCTCGGTGTGCCCGAAAGCAGCCCTCTTCGTGTCCTTTGGTCGTGCTCATGTCTCCAAGGGTGTCTTGTTGGCTTGAAACAACTGTTTTCTGAAAAAAAAATTTCTATGCCCGAAGCGTAAGCCAGATTGCTGGGAGCCACGTGCTGTGAAAAGAGGAAATCTGGGATCATTCTTCACCCGCGCGTTTCACGCTGGGCGTGCCCGAGCGGCAGCTGGAAGGTTTTTTGTTGGCTCTCCTTCAAGAAGGACAGGAGCCCAGGTGAGGCTGTTCTAATTTTCACCCCTGGGATGGCTCTGCGGGTCCTGGACGGCCATGCCGGCATGTCTAGCAGGGGCCAAGGGCTTTACCTGAAGCGCTGGTGCTAGCCGCCTCCGGAGTAAGCGCCACTGAGCCCACAGAGCTTTCCTGTTCGCTGCTCTGGTCTGTGCTCCCGAGCTCCTTTCCAACCTGCCTGTCATTCATCCCCTCATCATCTTCCGAACAGGTCCTCAGACGCCACCTGTGCTCCATCCGCACACCTGAACATGGTCCTCAGGGTTTTCAGTGGTTGGTTGGTTGGTGCTGTTTCTGTAGCCCCTTCAAGTCTCACAATAGCAGATGGAGAAACCCCGAGTGAGGGGAGGATGTGGGGCTCCCCATCCTCACCCCAGGGGCGTCCTGGCTGGTTTCCATTAAGTGTCTTCAAACTGCCTCCAGCAGTGCAGAGAGATCCAGCAGAGGGCTTGGGAACGGATGCTGTGATGAAGGTGAAAGGCCCTATCGTTTTCCGTCTGAACCACCTTTCATGGTAAAAGTCACCTTCTCCCAGCTTAGCTGGGATGAAGTGAGAGAGTGGCGTGGACATATATACGCTACCAAATGTAACATAGATAGCTAGTGGGAAGCAGCCGCATAGCACAGGGACATCAGCTCGGTGCTTTGTGACCACCTAGCGGGGTGGGATAGGGAGGGTGGGAGGGAGACGCAAGAGGGAGGGGATATGGGGATATATGTATATGTATAGCTGATTCACTTTGTCATACAGCAGAAACCAACACACCATTGTGAAGCAATTATACTGCAATAAAGATGTTAAAAAAAAGGTCACCTTCTCCCCATCTCTGAGGGGCGACTGTCCACTCCCCCAGGCAGCGAGTTGGCAGATCTGGGAGAGCGGACCTGCAGTTTGGTCCAGTCTGGCCGGCCTTGGCAGTGATGGCCCACTCGTCGCAGCCCCCCAGTCGGCTCTGTTTACCTGGGTAAATTTAAGCCTCCACCCCTCATCCCAGTTTGACCCACTGGCTCTCGGTCTCGCCCTGTGGCCGCTGGGCAGCGTTTCCAGACTTTCTTGCCCTGTAGTTGCAGCTGGGTCTTTCCCAACCGTGCAGCCTGAGTTCTCCTCCAGACTCTCTAAAGCTGGCCTCTCTCCTCCCATCTTCTGCCCACGGGGCTTTCTTCCCAGCTCTTTTTGGAAGCTGGTTAGTACTGGGGAAGCTCTCCCTCCAAATGTCAGGCACAGAAGAGTTTCAGGGAGCTCAAGCCTGGCCACCTAGACCCTCGTGCTGACTGTAATTGTCGCCAGCCCAGCCCAGGGCCCCAGGGCCCCAGGGCCCCCTTGGGAGCAAGTGCAGACCCTAAAGACACAGGGATGTTTTCTCAGACACAGGGGTGTTTCTTTTTGCACCCCGACCCTCCAAAACCCAGGAGGACTCAGCCCGCCTGTATGTCCTGTTGTTGTGTGAGGTTTCGAGGGGAGGGGTGCCTTGTAGCATCTCCTCTGGGGGCTCAGTTGTCTCTCCCGTCATGTGGCGCTTGGGATTAGATTGCCCTGGAGGCCCTTCCAGTTCTAACAGGCTGTTGTTTCAAACAGCTCTAGCTGGTTCCGTTTTGGAAATCCCTCTGCTGTGGACCAGGCCCGGGGGTGGGGAGGCAGCCAGTCAAAGGCGTCTGTTCCCGATGGAGGGGCGGTGACGGAGGGGCGTCGGGGCTGCCTTCGCAGTTACTGTTTCACCCCCTGCAGGCCTGCAGGCAGGGCTTGTGGGCCAGCTGGAGGCGCAGGTTGTGCTCCTGGCTTTGGGCTCCGGCCCGGAGGGGCCCCTGTGGTTAGCCGGCCTCCCAAGAATGGCTCGAGGCCCTGTGTCCAGCTGCTGGTGACTTAGGGGCCAGGGCCTGAGTTCCTGGGGGGCACCCAGGGTCCCTGAGCCCCAGAAATGCTAACCCCTCCAGGGTCACTCCTGTCTCACTGATTGATAAAGGGTCGGGGTGGGTTTCCCGAGGTCTTGGCTTCACTGTGAGAAGTTCCTGGTTTACAGACTTTAGCCCCCGAAGGTCACATCCAAGTTATCTGGAATGTCCAGCCAGTAGATCTGCTCTGAGCCCTGCTGGGAGAGCAAAAGAAATGAGAACAAAGCTTCTCTGACACGGGCTCGGGGTGACCTGTTCGCTGCCGGGTCTCACTCTGTCCTCCTTTCGGAGGGGACTTTGGGGGAGAAGCCTCAGAGCAGCCCTGGGCTCTGTTCCTGCTGTGCGCCCCCTTCCGCTTCCCAGCAGATACCCAGAGATGATGGCGTTCCTGTCTGAGGGCGGTTGGAGGAAGTTGATTCCCTTTGTGGAATCGTCTCTAAGGTTATATACCTCACCCGTGCTCGTTGGGAAGTTTCTCCTGGGAAACTCTGAGTAACGAATTACTAGATACTTCACACAGATCTTGTCTGGCTACAAGACCTGCAATCACTGTAACTGAACCTTTAAAGAGATTTTGTATTTAAGCGTAAGGCTAGAAATGTCCGCTGGGGAGCAGGGGCTGGTGGATGGCGCGAGGGTCCTGGGCGGCACTGTGGCTTATGCCCCGAGTCCGCAGGCTGCGGGAAGCTGAGACGCTAGAGGCTGGGCCTCAGGGTGGCACTGCGGCTGTGGCCCGGCCCTCAGAAGCCAGCCACGCAACTCAGCTTCTCTGTACCTCGGTTGCCTCACTTGTAAGTGGAAACAGTAACTGTCTGTTCCTCTCGCGTGGTTGCAGAGAGGCAGTTGGTGGTGAGGTCTGGGTGTGCAGGGCACTAGGCTGTGCAGGGCTGGGCGTCGTTGGCTGCGAGCTGTGAGGGAGGAACCTGGAACCCGCCCTGCTGTTAACAGAGCTGCCCGTGTCAAGCGTGTGCCCGCCAGTCCTGGAAGGGAATGACTCTCGTGGGTGTCAAACGCATCCCATCCGGCGTG